CAGAGCATGTTTTCCTCTGAGCCCCATACAGTTGGCTTATGCTAATTCAGAAGACCTAGGAGTAGTCATAGGATATGTTCCTAACCTAGATTTTCTGTGATATTTTATAAGCAAATAGACCTCAGTCTCTTGATGGAAGGTTTTGTGACCCTTTATTTATTGTATATTAGGATTAATTAGTTACATTTCTAATAGACTATAAAGGTGCTTGACATTATCATAGGATACACACTTGGCAAAATATGGAACTGGTAGTAGTAAAAAGTACTACTGAGGCTGAAACTTAAAATCTTGTCAATTACTTTACGGCTATTTAAACTTAACAGGCTAAAAACGAGAGGAAATGGCGGGGGGGGGGGGGGGGTCTGCTTGCTGGAACCCAGCTTCCTAGATCTTAATGAGTTTGCCCTTTCCATAGGGCTTAGCAAGTTTGCATCCTGCTGTTTATCTCATTTCTTATGGCTTGAAAACCTATCTTTGAAGCAATATAATTGGTTTCACAGAAGTATCTGTAAAAAAACCAAACAGAAGATGGAGGAAAAAAACAAATCTGTGTGTGTGCTGACTTATTTAAATACAGGATAATGCATTATGTGTCAGGAAGAGAGGTCTTTATTAAACTTAGTAGTTTGAAGTAATGTCTCTCTTTCTTTTCTTTTCTTTTTTTTTTCTTTTGACGAATTCCACACAGCTCTAGCATCTACATAGAAAGTCTTTATCCGCTATACCTTTATGACACTTTTGTAAACTTCACATTAGAAAGGAAAAGGCTGTGTCTAAGCAATTGGTGTAACTAACCCATCAAAAGGAGAAGCTAAACATACTACTATTTCAGTAGGAAATAGGAAAAACTTATTTACTGTGAAGGAAAATGAGGATGAGGAAAATAATGAGGATGAGGATAATAATGAGGCAAAACTTCTTCCCTGTGAGGGTGACAGAGCATTGGAACAGGTTGCCCAGAGAGGCAGTGGAGTCTCCTTCCCTGGAGATATTCAAAACCCGTCTGGATGTGATCCTGGGCAATATGCTCTAGAGGACCCTGCTTGAGCAGGGGGGTTGGACTAGGTGATCTCCAGAGGTCCCTTCCAACCTCAACCATTCTGTGATTCAGCTCATTCAGTTACTCAGCATAAATCAGGGAATATTTACTGGATAGCTTTTCCAATAAAAATTGAGCTCCCTCTGATAACATACCTCCCAGATTTAATCCATTTACAAATGTTTCTGAGGCCAGACTCCCAAACTGTGAGCTGCAGAAGTTGTAACTAGGGGAATTAGTAGTACACCTATCTTACCAGTGCAGCAATTTAAATATTATTGGAGGGTAAATGGAGAAGTGAGTTTGTCTATGACTTGAATATTGAGGTTTCTTGGCCTTTGCTTCACCCATCTTCTAAAGCACTTAGAGGAACTTAGTTTTTATTTATTTATAGAGTAAGGGTCGTTTTTCATTCTGCATCCACCATCTGCTCGTTTATTTCCAGTGATGGCTGGGATAGCAGTAAAATACTTCTCCGTGGCTGGCAGAGCTCAGAAGTGCAAAATCACTGAGATATGTGTACACAGGGAGATATGTGTACATAGTCATTCGCAGGGAACTGTAAGTCTACAGCAGCCCTGAACTTTAAATAAATTCCAACAAGCAGAGAAAATTGTGTGCGCTGCTTCTTGTCCTGGCCCTCTGATGAAAGCTCACTCCTTCTTCGAATGTGATCCCGGGGTGACTTTGTGTCCCATGTTTTATACTGCAGTGTGTTTGTGCAGTCTCACTGGAAAGCATTCAGGAGTGGCACCTCCGAAACCTCCTCGAGTGGAAGGAGGAATGGGATGGGACCTTAGGGTGGCTTTTACGCAGCTTACTTAGTTTCCTGCTATACCAGCTGCCCGTTCCCTCCTCCACTTGGATTGAATTGATTTTTGACCTGAATTTTAGACTTTCCAACTCTGCCCTTGCTCATGAGGCATAGCTGATACCAGCCAGTAAGCTTTCACAGCAGCTGCTTCTTGCTTTTGGAGCAAGAACTGCCTGTCCTGGCTCAGACCTGTGAGTTTGTGCCAGGGGGTCTCTGAGCTGTGTAGCTTGTTCTGCTTCTAATAGGGTAACGGCATATTTGGTCAAAAATAGCTGTCACAGTTGCCACCACAACCCCTACCGTCACTGGTGACAGTGATGTTGTCATTACAGAGGTGAAGCAGGTAGTAGATAAGGCCTAAAGGATGCAAAACGACCCTGGCCCTACTCTGGTCCCTGCAGCAGAGCCTGAGCATTTTGAGCTGCTGTGAAGGCAGGCACTGAGGAGCTGCTCTGCAAGGGGAAGGAGAAGGGAAGGATATGAATGAACTTGAAATCATCCATTCGAAAAAAGAGAAACTTGTGGTAGAGTGACTAAATGTAAAATCTTCCTAGGGTGATGCTTTAACTTGTTTTATATCAAAACTTGATGCTGCTGTGTCAGATAAGCACTAGTCAAGCACAAACTAGGCTCATTAAAAAGGGTAACTGGCTTACAAATTTTAGCTCATGTTATACCTGAGATCAGACTGAATGGCACAATCTCTCTTCTTCTGGCCTACAAGCAGAAAAAGAAAATTGGATCATTATCCAGAGTCTTCTACAGACTGAACAGTTACCTAATAGCAAACTTGTCTTGTTCAATGACCTCTGAAGCCACTTTTTTGCAGACAAAATACTCTATAACCATAACTGTGAATTCCGATTAATTTTAGCCACAGTTTTGTGGCTCATGCTATGGCTTAGATTTTTTTCCCATGACATCTTACAGAACAATCTAAATTCATTCATAATCCTAACCGTTTGTTATCAACTTTTAAAGGGACTTATCCATCAGAAAGAACCCAATCGTAAGGCTGGTCTAAAGACCAACTGGGACTGAGGTTAACAGCGACAGACAGACCTCTCCTGAAGGGATGTAGCAACTTTAAGATCTCCTAGCAATCTGTTTTCAGATTCCTTCCAGGCTATGTTGCTGTGGAAATCATCTCCCCAGTAGATCAAAAAAATTGCCTCTGTTGCTTCCTTATTGTATTTTATTTTTTATTCCCAAAGGGCTTTGTAAGTGCTGGCTGGACACAGCTGGGGCTGTGCTACAGGTTCGAGGAAAAAATGATTTCTGTGTTATAGAAATGCTGCTTACAATACTAAGGTCACACTGTCCTAACATGATTTTACCACAAGAGATGAATACAGACTCTGAAGCATCGTGTTATGCTATGTCGTACTACATTAACTGAAGGCAGTTTGCCCCAGGGCCTGCCGATTCATCTGTTCACTGGAGCTCGCATTGAATTAACATACATAAAACAAAATCGAAAGATTCTTCCACGACAAACAGCATGCTCGTTCATCTGTTGTTTCATTGCGGTGCTGTTCTCATTACCACATTTGATTTAATTTGTATGTGTGCTAGTCATGAAAAAAATATTGTAATACCCTTGCTTTGGGGCATGAAAGGTCAACAAAACAAATAGCTACTGCCTCTTGGGGCAATCAAAATGCACCACATAAGATAAATTTGGAATGGCTTGCAGATGCTGCACATTAAGGATTAAAACTTTTTTAGGTCCCTACATAGAAATGTGTGTGTGTTGATTTATTTTTTTATTTTTTTTTTTAAACACGAGAATCTTCTGTAAAGGATTTCTTACCGTATAATGGCCTTTCCCCAATCACTCTCCACATGTAGTCCAATACTAAAATAATAATCATTCTCAGATCTATATTGTAAGCAGTATAGTTTGCTAAAAGGAAGAGCTATTCAGATCATTAACTTGAGAGGTGGTCACAAATGGGATCTTATATGCATCTATGAGGAACTATTGAGCTTCCACAAAATGGATTAAAACTGAAGTTATATTAATTAGTCTCTGTTCCAATTCATGTAGAAATAATCTTATTTATTATGCAATTTTAAAAATAATTTGAATTAATAATATGACACTCAGACTCCCAAAAGTTGTGCCTAAACTGCTAGGACAAACATGTTCATGTTGTTTGATAGCTTCCTTAGTTTAGCATCTTCAATTGGGAAGATATAACTACAGTAGATCAAAGGATGGAACTTACAGATTCTTCCTTTCTAGAAGAAAGCAGGATCTTATTTAGCTAATGAAAGTTACTAATAACTAAGTTTTTCCCTTCATTTGTTTGTGACAAAATTCTGGTAATAGAAACACAACATGGAAAAAGTAACACTTCCATTAAAAAGCGCTGCATCTATTCACCCAATAATGTTGTTTCTGCATTTCACATGATGTGTCATCAGTTTATTATAGTGTTGCTAACTCTGTCACCTACAGACTGCTTTGTAAGGCAGCCTGTGGCTACACTTCTCTAAGCTTTCCAGGATCTGCTTTTACCAGCTACAACAGTCATGGAAAGATGAGGGTGGAGAAGTAATGAATAGTAGAAAGAAAAGGAAGATATAATAATCATAAACATGTTTAGGGCTGCTCCCTAAGCCAAGAGAATCCTTTAAGTATCACAGAGAAGCATGAAAAAACTTTAAAGGCCTGTTTCAGGATTTGCCATTTTAGAATGCCTTAACACCCCACATTTCTTAAAGGCCCCTTTAAAAGGTCAGGTTGGGAAATCATGCAAATTTATCCATTTTAGTTAGAACACGGAGATATGTGACTGAGAGACTAAGTCTTCAGATGTTTATTGCTATTAGTAGTGTTGCCCCAGTGACACTGATTCATGTAGTTATTTAGCAGCCACACTTATGTGGTGGCACAGGTAACCACGCAATCAATGTCTTGTTCTCAATGGTTAGTACTTACCACTGCGAGCTTCTAAGCACCCTTTTCCCTTGCTGAAATGAAGATAGCACTCTCTTCTTGGGAGAAAAGCTATTACTGTGCTATTTAGCATCAGTTCTGCTGAATCTTTCAAAATACTTCAAGATCAGTGACTCTTCACGGCAATAAGGATGTAGTTTTAATTTACATAAACAAAGGAGACAGATAAACTGTACAAATTGGAATTTATTTTATTTCTGTGGTACAACAAGTAATAGATGAACTTCTGCTTTGTACGTGTATTTTAAATGCATTTTAAGTATGTCAGTTTTAAAACTTAATGTTCAGTAAGAAACTACTCAATATCAAAAGCCAAGTTTGAAGACCAGTTATTAAGTATTCTTACTCCATGCTGCTTGACAGACTACCATACAGGAATATTTAAAAACACTTTTTTCTGCAGAAAAGTCAGAACAAATTCTTTAAAAAGTTAATGAATGTTAAATGGGGAATTACTTGCTATTATACCAGACAACTATTTCAAAGCTGTCCCAGGGGAAGTATCCTGCCACTCTTACATTCGCTCTTGTATGTAGTAGCTACACGTGTTCTGGCTGCATTTCAAGAAGTGGTATGTCTTAAAATGACACAAACTAATGAGGATTCTTAAACTTTTCCTGCTACTCAAGGGAGCATGGGTTTTGCCACAGGGACAGAAGTAGTACAGTATATCTGTTTACTCTGAACTATTATTTTTTAAAAATGTGCTGGACATAAGTTCTGGCTAATCTTGAACTGTTTTTCCACAGTAACAAATATGTCATCAGAGCATAGCAAAGTGCTCTTTTAACTGTTTGAGGAGCTGTTGTGTATCAACGTGGCCTGGAAATGCTTCCTCTGACTTCTGAGCAGCTACGTAACTCCTCTGAAGATCTCCAACCTGTAAGAAACACATAAACGCATTTATAAAGGCAACCACTGCAATATTTCTGCCAGGTATTCTGTGCAGTACGTTTCTGATGTTCGCAAAAGTTTAAACATAGCTGGTCCTGAGAATGAACAAATAAAACTGATGTAGTATGGAGATGTTCAAACTCAGTGTTACGTCTCTCTCTCCCTTCAAGGGAAGGGGACAAATTTCGAGGAGTGAGGAGGAAAAGACAGCAGTGTGATTTGAAGGGGAGCGGTTCATCAAGATAGTGACTTTTATATGTCCCTACTCAACTTTTTGGAAACTGTACAAGGTACATTGTGCCCAGTGCTTGAAGCAAGGAGGAATAAAAAAATTGAAGATTTTAAGCTCCATGTGAGTGTTGTCTTATATAGAGACAAGATAGAGCCAATCAGCAAAATTTTGCTTCTGTAAAGGAAGCAACTTCCTGTGACTTTGTCCCTCCTCACAGAGAAGAGCATGATAGTATTACAGAGCTGATAAGCTGCACGCTGCTCTTCTGCTGCTTTTAGAAGCATGCTTCCACATGGTTCCCTACTTAGCGAATCTTATTCTTTTTTTCCTAAATAGCAATCCCTTTTGGAAGGGGGAAGTGTACATAAGAAGTGCATCTCAGAAGGTGGGTTCAGCAAAAAAGGACCAAAACATTTGGAAACTCAGCTGCTGGATGGATAGGGAAAAGCTACAGAAAGCTGTGGTAGGAAACCTGGGTTGCCTATGTGCAAGTGACCACAAAGCTACGGTGCCCCAAGTACTCTCTGGAGGGCAAGAAACCCAGGGTCCTGGCCAGAGAGCTTAAGTCTCGTAAACCATGGCCTTACACTGAATATATGCGCTGCATTAGCAAGCTGCATAAAGCAGTGTAGCAAGCTGCATAAAGCAGTATAGCAAGCTGCATCTGTTTTCTCCCACAGCCTATGCAGTTCCTCTGTGCAAAAACTACATAATAGGCCGTTTAGGGACTAGGATTTGCTCCTTAATCAGCAAGTATAAAACGCAGCTATTCCAAACCATCCTATGTTTCACAACGGAGAGGATATGCTTACAAATTAATGGGTTGTTCTCTTCTTGACGCATGTACTTTAGAATCTGTAGGAGTTGGGCTGCCCACACAGCACACACTCCTAACAGAATATTTAAGATGTAGGCACAAGGAAAAAATTTCTTCTTGTGAAATTTTAGGACTTGTACAAGTTTCTCCTTATTAACAGGAATAAGAATGCCAGTACACTGTTAATTCAGTATCTGAGGCACCCCTTATGAAAGAAATAGTTAACACACAAAATTCAAAGGTCATAAAGCTGAAGAGAATTTCCTTTTGAGATCAGTAAGATCATGGACTGAATAATTGATATTATTTCTATCGTTAATCACCTGATACTATTCACTTTACGTTCTGAAAAAGCCAATGAATGCAAAGACTGTAGACGGAATTGTTAATCATCTTCTGTACATTTGGAGAAATACTAAAATTGCTGTATAGTTATATAAGTTAAATATATTGTTATATATTATAACTACATAAGCTGGCTTCACTTACTCCCAAAAGCAAACATTTGAATGACTACTTTCACTCAAAGCTGCTGGCTATTAAAATGAAAATGTAACTTTAGTTTTATCTTGACTTTAGGCACTCTGTATTCTTTTGTCTTAACTATTTGGAATCTTTAAAATAATAATAAAACCCAACCATCCCATCAAAAGTTCAATTTCTAGATTACAGGAATAGGATAGTGTATTACCTTCTCTGAGAGTGTTGCAAAATTAAAATGGGGCTCATACATATGAGGTGCTAAAGATGAAGCAGTCTGCAGCAAAGCTCTTGCCTATGCAGAGGAAAAAAAACACAAGTGTAGTGAAATATGTGAGGGAGAGAGGGTGACAAGAAACTAACGCATCTTTCTTCATTCTCTAAAGAAATCATGCTACATTCTATATAACCCTTTATCATTAAAGTCATTTTCAACTATACACAAGTTATACCTCTAGCATATCTAGGCATAATACAATTTAACAGGGTTGAAATGATAGAATGGCTGTGTTGCAATCATATTTAAGTAGGCGATTCAGTTTTAAATATGAAATAGAACCTATTCATTAAAAAAAAAGAATGTAAAGTCTTGCTGTATTTACCTACTGTCTCTGAAAGTAAGTACTGTGTATTAATGATTCAGAATCATAAGCATCCCTGAAAAACCTAAATGACGTGATTTCACATTCTAAATTTGTAATGAAAGCCTTTACATTGTTTTCATACACCGTTTCCACACTTCCCAGTACCTTTAAAAAAAAGGCTGTGAGATCTAGGTGAACTAGGTAACTAGGTAAAGGAAAGTCCATTAAATATTATACCTCTCCTTTATTATTCTCCTTGCAAATTGAAATTGCCAAGAGTCTTGTTCTCCACAGTGTTTGGAGAGTAGAGTTTTCCTCACTCTCCTTCCTCAGGGCTGCAGGGAGAACTGAAGGATGGAGAGATGTGTGACTATGTGACTACCCAATCTCCCAAATGACTCAGCATTCAGGTTTGCTCAAGTCTAACTTGCCCAGACTTCTAGAGAAATGACAGTAAAATCTTTCTGCCATAAAAGAAATACAAAAGTCTTTGGGACTAGGGTAGATTTTCGAACAAACCATTAAGGGATCTTTTTTGAAGCTGCGAAGCTTGATAGTACTCTGTATTAAACACTGAACACTCCACTAAGTTTGCACCAGGAGTCACTCTTCTTTCTGACTAGCAAGTTACTAGTATTAAGAACTACTAAAAAGTGTGGGAACATATCACATCTTTTAGAAACAAAGATATCTGTTAACTATTTGGGAAGGCAGAGCTAAGAAATCCAGCAACTTTGAGTATACGTAACAATATTCATGAATAACATTGTGAAATAGAATAAAATCCAAAATAAGCAAAACATCTTGACGCATTTTTATTCTTCTATGCATACTTTTATTGCCATGATGATCCAGAAATTTTTATGCTACGTGTGATACAAATTTTAAGCTGAAAACTAGAAAAGATGGAAACAAACAACCGTAACAGAAAGACTATGCAGTCCTAATTGTTAGCGCTCACAACCTCCCCAGCTATAACTGAACATAAATTCCACCTAGGATTTACATGTCTGTAAACTGACTGACCATGAACTGAAACTAAAACTGAACTTCATGTGGGGAACTTCATGGCAGATGGTCTGAAGATGTGGAGGTTACGCTGAAATAAGCATAAAATTTATCCATGTTGTCTGCCTGGAAAAGTAAGCTTAGAGATTCACGTGATGCCTCCTTCTCAGGGAAACGACATGTTAGTTAAGTACAAAAGAGCCAAAGGAAGCATTCTGCTCAGGCTGAGACATTATACCAACCTGCTCAACGTGACCTTTTCGCATTTCCAGCACAGCCAAGTTGTTGTAAGCCTCGGCATGGTCGTTATTGTTAACTATCGTCAGCATGAAACACTGGTAAGCCAGATTCAGATCTCCTATCCCCTAAAAGTAAAACTGTATTTTAATTTGTCAAAAGATTTGAAACAACACGTCTGTTTTGTTGTCTTGAGTATCTTTTCATCCATATGTACTGCCAGGGAATGCAAATCTCAATAAAAACATACTGATTAGAACCATATGTGCTTTCTTCCCAACTCTTCTCATTTGATTCCTGTTCTTTAAGCAGAAAGAATTTTCTCTCTCCAACAGAAATAATCATGATCCAAGTGAGATTCAGTTCATCTAATTAAACTTCTAAATGACTAAAGTATTATCTAAAGATTAAGCTATACGCTACCCTTTATAGTCAAAAGAAACACCTGGAGACACGTCCAAAAGGAGAGTCGTCTTGTCTCTCTCTGGCTCTAAGTGGTTTAAAAAGGAGCATCTAAGCCCAGCTTTTAGATGGCTAAAATTAAGGAGGATAAAGTTTTCTGTTTGGAGCAACTGGCTGCTCTTTAATGCTCTGGTTTTCTGACTAGGACTGATACATCAGGTCAAATGTTAAAAATGACAAATGCTGAAAAAATATGCACATCTGTTCCAATTTGTGTGCTTAGGCAGTATAAATTAACGTATTTTATCCTAGTTCCAGCACAATCAAGATGAACAGGTGAGTTTCTCACTGACTTAAGTGAAACCATAATTAGTATTTGAATGGAACTCACAGGAGGAAGCTATCAAAAAATTATTTGGTAGCCTTATTCTGGGCATGCTACTAAAGAGAAAACTAATGCAACTTCCAGAACAGCATCTGCAAAAACAGGCAATGAATGTAAATTAGTGTAGGAAGTTAACAATTTTTATCATACAATTACAAAATATTTCTATTGCTGAGTCTCAGGCAGAGGAACTTGCCTTCTCAATTATAATACGCATAGCACTTTAGTGCCTGCTGCACGATGCTGAATATGTATATTTATGGCAACAGAATCCATCTAATACTCCATGTCAAATAACACCCGAAATATCTTGTATTCCTTTTCTTGTCAAATTAGCTTATATGGCAGCAAACGCCCTCAGGGGTCTTGTATGAGTTGCAAATTTTTGGAAAGGAAAGTTAAAGATGGTAGGGAGGGAGTATCTTTTAGCAGGAGGAAGCCTCATTCTGTGAAGATGTACAGACCTCTTCTCTTGCTTTTTTCTCTCTCTGAAAGGGCAAATAAACCCTTAATTAAATTTATACTGTACTTTATCCTGTACTATATTAGGTTTCGTACTTTACCTCAAGCTAGGGCAATGATTCCTCTCAAGCTATTCTTTTTCCAGTTACTTTTTCGTTTAAAATATTTATTCAGAAAATTTATTAACGTTTTTCATACCACTGCCACATGTCCCAAGTTGTACCACACATCTGCTGTCTCTTCCTCATTTTCAGCCAAAGAAAGTGCACGTTCAAATGAAGTTAGGGTCATATCATATTGCTGGGCATAGAAGCAACAGAGGCCAAGATTGTTAAAAAGCTGGCAGTTGTAAACACCCATCTGCAGGAGTCGTCTACATTGAGAGGAAATATTTGTTAAATCTATTTTCTGGATTAATTACAAATATAGGTTCTATTCTAAACGATGAAATTCTCTTCTCCCTTTTCCCAGTCCGCCGAGGGTGTAACAGCCAAGTACGTTATTTTGCTCTTTCAGACTTTTTTGTTATGGTCTTACACTTGGTAAAGGTTTCTTGAAGGGCAGTGCAGGCCATTTTTTTGACTAGCAGAATCAAAGTTGTGCAAAACATTCTCTGTAAATTATAAAACTTTTGGCTTCTTGACTGTGCCGTATGATCTGACTTTACTGTTAGTCAGAGCTTGTATGCAGACTCCCCCTTTCTCCACCTCTTCTCTTCAATCCCTCAACCTTAATCAAGCTGTAATTTTTGCAGTTACTTTTAGAATAACTCTTCACATTTCAATTTTTTTCCTTGATTCCTGACCGTCAGCACTACTCTCATCACTACTAGTATGTTTAATATACAAATCTACTTTAATCTTATATTTAAAGCAAAACTCACAGATTTTGATTCATATCGATTTTGTTTAATGTGTGTTTTAGGATAGAGATATTTTATAAAAATTCTGATTATTAATATTTACAAGAGAAAAAGGTATGCTAAGAGGACCAGGGAAAAACTGGGCTGCTTTGTGCAGCGTCACTGTCTACTTGTGAACCTACAGCATAGAAGAGCTCAGGTACTACAGAACTGACATGGCAGTGTTACATTGACTTAATCTGCTCTTAGACTTAGGAATATGAGTCAGGCTCCTTTGCACTCTGACTGTATTCAGATGAAAAGTAAGTAGTATAGTTTAACAGTGTCTTTATTGTTTTCAGTAAAGCATAAGGGGAACCCAAGCCTGTGTTCAAGCAAGGGATTCTGTGGTCACATCGCATATGACTTCAAATGCAGCTTTTCAAAGACTGCTCCTTTTCAAAGGGCTAAAGAGAAAGTCCATGTGCCTCCCAACTGCAAAGGAAATTGAGAGAAAGGCCCAGTGTTCTCAGACTGCCTCATGCTGTGAAAGATTATTTCTTGTTTACTAATCAAATAATCAACTGTTTTGATAATCTTCTATGTTGACACTTCTGCACACTTTGCATGCAATGCTTACAAGTTTTTAAAAGAGAGACGTAATTATCGCTGGTAGAGAAGACGCATAAATTGACATGCTGATTATATGGTGATATTTTTTGAAATGCTGGCTCATCCTTCCACGACCATCTCCTAATACTCTTATTTTGCTGTCAGCATAACAAAAATCAGCCCTTCACATTACCCTCCTACGTGTCCAGCTTCCTACCCTCTGTTCCCTCCCTCCCCTCCAAGTTTAGATACCTATAAAACCGCAGAGCTATCTCGGGCTGGTCTGAATAAAAATGGTTACTGCCAATGCATGCAATGGCTTCCACGTGAGTATTGTCTTGTTTTAAGACCTCTTTGTAGTACTCTGCAGCTGAGGAGATATTGTTCATTTCCTATACGAGGGGGAAAAAAAAGATTAATTCTGCTTTGTGTCACCAATTTTTATCACAAAACTTGTTAAAATGTCAATCTACAGAGTGCTTGATCTGTGCCCTGTATAGTACTTAACTACCTGAGGTTAATTATGTATGCTGTTACAGTTCTCTGATCAATGCAACATCAGCATTTGGCATCTCTACAACTGACACACTCACATCCATGAGAAGAACGTTTATTAATTTTTTTCAGGGCTAGTTGTACCTGTCGTAACTGGATACCACCGACATAGGAAGACTTTAGTTTTTTAATACTGGTCATAAACTTAGCACGTGCAATTGGTACTTGGTGCTTTTGGTACACTGTCTCGTGACAGATAGTACTGCACAGCCGATTTTCATTTTCAGTGCTTTGTAAATTAACTCATGAAATGCTTTGACCATAAATGAGAATGTAACTGCATAGGAAGTATTATTATGTGCCTTCGAAAACAGGAGTCGTGGATTAATTACCAAAACTTGTATTTACTAGGATGTGCCATTTAAGACAATTATATTGTATCGAAACATATGCTTGGATGTATGCTAGTGGGAAGGTGAATTGGGGTGGACTTTTTGCTCTGAACAAAGTCATACTGTTTCTGAGGAGCGAAAGTCACCACATGACTCACCCTCTATTAGAATAAAGTAAATTAAAGCAGTCAAAAAATATTTCTGCATTTAGAGAGGAATATTTTCTACCTATGCACTGTAGTTACACTGTATGCTCAACCTGACTAAAGAAAAAGCTTTTATTTAACTTTAGCAGCACATGCACAGTTAGCTTTGAAAAACAGCACTTCCTTTGATTAAAGGAAATAACACTAAAATAGTCTCTTTATAAATAGTAGACGTTCTTTTTTTAAACCAATAAAAGGTCTGCAACTCTTTTCACTGTCAAAAAGTAGTGACACAGAAGAAAACTCTTAAGACTCCTGATACATATATTCCACTTGTGAGTGCAGGTAACCGGAGCAGTCCTGTATTGCAGTACAAATCTTTGCTAATGAAGCTATAATTCTGCACTCAGGCGTCAGCGCAAAACTATGTCATGTCAACTATACGCTGCTCTTTAAGAATTCCTAAAGGGGTTATGTAATGCTTTGTATGGCTCTGCAAAATAATATCCTTATTAAAAACTGCTTAACAATTCAGAAAGGCAGGCCTGCAAAAATTATGCAGCTGTTTTCTTCATCGCTAAAGGACAAAAAGCATTTAAAATGAAAATGGATTAATTCCTAGGGGTTAGATGAGAACGATGAGAAAAGGCAAGAATTCCAAGCATGAATATAGACAAAAAAATTCATGACTTGGTTCAAAATATTCGTTTTGGAATAACATCATTACCAAAACTCAGTATCACACAATTTTTCCAGCCTGCTGCTTGATATGAAAATACATATTTTTAGAATGTAAAATATGTGGCTACTAACCTGAAATGAAGCCACTACTTTAAAACTAGTTCCATTTAAAATAAAATCTACCTCCTAAACTAAGAAACATTCACATTCCAACTGCACTCACTGGCTTAAGAAATTAACAGTGACCTATAGGACTAATAAAGACAGCATTGATCTGCAGACTATCTTGCTGTTTAATCCTGCCAACAGGCTATTGGTGACTCAAACAGTTTTAGTCCAGTTAAAAATATATGAAGTAGATATAGCTACGTGGACAGCTTCTGGATCACCTGACTTAACGTGGGCTTGCTTCTTTGTGTCTGAACAAGGAAAACTAGGATCTCACTGGTGTGATTAACCAGTCAAACAAATAAGTCTGCGAGGTTTCCCTGACATTACTTTGGTCACTTCTTTGTGTAATGTTACTTGTTTCGCATTAGTGATACTGGAAATTAGTGTAGTTAATTTTTCATGACCTTACAGGTATATTGAACGATTGGCTCTTTTCCTTGCTCAGGCAGCTAACCTTGGCCACCTTACAGATTGTTTAGTACGTGCATACCTCATAGATCCTGGCAATTCCACAAAGAAGAGCCACTTCTCCAGGAAATCGATCTAACCCTTGCTTGAAAAGGTTCAACGCTGTTACAGGCTGATCCAAGCGCAAATACACCTAAGTAAATAAAAATTGCATACAAATGTCACATGTCTGACTTTGATGCTGGTATTGCTGTTTGACAAGGGAGCTAAATGGAAGGAATGACACTGTTCCCTTTACGCAGTGAGCCATTAGCAAACGTGGTGAACAACACTGGGAAAATAATGGCGTTAATACTGAATAAATCTCTGTAATGAAGATAAAATAGGCTGATTAAAATAATTACGTCTGCTTGCCTATCATCTAGACATTATTAATTCATACGAACAGTATCAATAAACCAACTTGTTATTTATTAACATATGAAAATAATATACTTTGACACTGAGGAGAAGGCAATACCTTGAATATTTCTCTGTTTAACATTTTAAAACATATGTTTGGGCTTGAAAAAACTAGATTGTCAGCTTGTTAGTGCTGGAATAACAAAATAGTTTACTTAGCCAAAAAAGAATGCACTGCACAGGGCAGTGACACGTGGAAGTTACCTTATTGCTCTGCCAACCTTCCCAGTCATAGACAATAAAATCCCTTAAAAGCAAGAGGGCAGTTTAGTCCCTGTGATTTTTGGCTTCTGTGCTGATTTTAACAACGTGTGATGTGGACAACTTCGTGTAAAGCTGGATGGAGGACATCAACACTTTGCATAGAGACCACTTCTGCAGCTATTTGAGAGTACAACTCTCAAGCCCTTCTGTTATGGGGTTTATCTAAACCAGCTACAGCAATAGGAAAAAAAAAATGCATACTTTGGGAAACTAGATAACTACAGTGATTAATCTGTCTCTGATTTGTGAAAATGTTTTAAATGCTCTCCTTGGAGAAATATTACATTAAATAAAGGTAAAAATTGATAGGACTAAAAAAGGGAAACACTCTGCGACTGGTATCCTGACACAAATGTCTTATGATGCAACGGAGAAAAAAATATCAGCATTACTTGTACTCCTGAGAAACCTCCAAACACATCTTCTGCTTCTGCCTTTGGGCTTCATAGACTTTTGAGTATCAGCAATCAAAGTATGAGTTAAAGCTGTCAGTGAGTTCTTTACTTGCATATCTATAGATATATACTGCTATAGACATTTACAAAGAATTATTTTCTAAGGCCACTCAAGTGTCATTCTTAATGTTAAAGAACTGTAGATTGTGAACGCCCCTAGTAAAGGGACTGCCATTTCAAATTCATCACTGAAAAAAAAAGGGGGGCAATTTTTTTTTTTCCCAGTCATTTTGCTGCTACCACTTGCATTTCTTGTCTTAGGCTAGGAAACTAATTACTTTCTGTAAAAAGCAATAAGAGAGTGAGGGGGTTGCGTGTTGTGGAAAGGTTGGTACCTGGTAGACTAAGTCTGGACCAATGACACCAGCAATTACTGATACATTTTAAACTAACAGTTTATTCCTAATTCACTCCATCTGTCGATGCCACTGTGTCTAAAATAGCCTTCCAAATCATCTGCTGTAGTTTTTCATTTAGAAACTATGCCATAGCCTCTGATGGTTTAATGTCTGCATTATATTTTAAACTTTAAATGAATGCCTCCATTGTGGCTGTCATGCTCCATTCTCCTTTCTTTAATCAGCATCGGAAGTTTTATTTTTCTGTTAGCAACAGTTTTCTACACCTAAATTATTCTGTAAAGGGTTTCAGGGGAAAGTACACAGATGAAAGAGAATACATGATAGCTAGGTATACCTTCTTAATTAGCAGGAGCCTAGGCTGGTTGTTTTATTCTAAATATTACATTTGTGAGTGATTTACCTGAGTTTAATTTATCTTAAATAAGTACAGTAAGCCAGTGCACACTGCTATACCTTCAAGTAATTTAACTTTTTTGGAACTAAGAGAGAGAATTTTAATTAACTTTTTTTTTTTTAACCTTATCTAGCTATGAAGCATAGCTATCTTCATATTCTTAGAGGAACAATGCAAAAAATGGAGGACAGGAAACTCCATTAGAGCTGGTCCTTTTTTATCGCTGTTTGCTTGTTTATGAACTATGCTTTCTGAACATAACGGCTCAAGGCCTGGTCTGTGCTTCCTCTGGAGGTTCACTCCAAAGATACCCTCATTACAGATCCTCTGTGCAAACACTGAGCCAAGGCAACATAGCCACAAACTCTACTAAGGAATTTCTATGCCCGAGCATGCCACATCCAGCAGCGTATCACACTGCCCGCTATCTCTGCGGTATAGCCGCTGTCCCTATAGGCAACAGGAGAAATGAAAAGCTGGGTGGGACAAAGCTCCGCATTCCACAGCTACTTTGGGGAGACCTGCTCTTCAAGAGCACTATAGCTACAGTCATTTAGCTTTTGATGCTAAATGCAGAGTGCCTGTATGTTCTCTTTGGAATCTCTCTTATCTCTGGTACAAACATCCCATTTCCAGCTCTGCTGGATCATGAAATACTCTGTAAATTCTCAGCACTCCTGACTTGTATTAAAAGGGTCTTTATTTTTCAGGTTTCTTTCAGTCTTTTATTTTTCCATAAGTTATGTTTCAAAGGAGATTTAGCTTTCAGTAAAAAAAGAATTCTGATAGCTGCTAGCTGTTGTAATAATGAACATAATTTAAAAAAATTGGTGCTGTGGTGTATATTAGGTTGCTCAGAACTTGAGGCAATCCTATTATTTTTCAATGGCTGCTTAACTCTAGCCTTATTGCTCCAGTATTATCATACTGAACAATAACTCGGATGCCCTACTCTATTGCCTGTCCACCCACAGTCTATAAATTATGCTGTGTGATGCCTTATACTTGAGCTAGCTGGTCTACGGAGTGGGAGGTAGAAGTTCAAGTGCTCCTACTCAGGCTAGTAATGATATAGCTCCCATTACAAATCACTGTTTTTTTAAATCCAATTACTCTAATTTAATCACTCTGTGTAGCTCAAGTGTTTTGCAGAGTTACTCCTGCTAGTGACAGAAATCTAAAATGACTTAGCTAAATTGAGTAAACTAACTCAAACAAAAGTGTTGTACTGAAGACATGTCTTCAGATACCAATGATAATAGTTTAAACACTAAAAGTAAATTGTTAAACGAATGTAAAGGTACAGCAAATATCATAATATAAGCAAGTACCATAATATGAATATCTGAATTATCTACTAGCAGTGATGACTTGTTTTGGACAGATCTGTGACAGCTGGCTTCAACGGAGCTGACAAAAAGCAACCGATTTCATCTGCTTCTAGGACTAGAGGAAGAAAAATGAGGTCTTAGATTTTCACAGGCTATCTCTTCTTGAATGCCTTGGAAAACGTCTCGAATCTGACATGTACCCTCAAGAACAAGTAATTCCAATGCTTAGCTGGGCCAGTTGTTCTTTTGAAGCTTTTAATGCCTTTATTTTGACAGAACATTCTCTGTTTCAAGGTCTCTGACTGCTTCCTATAAGCTCCCTTTATTTTGATTTTGCTTGTGAAACTAGGTTTTTGAGCTTCACTTGTCATATACTAATCTACTGCATTAGTTTCCTAGGAGACCACAGATAGCTACATTGTTTTCCAGGCTGAAGCTCCAATGATTCTTTAGCGTCTTCCTCACTGCAGTTTAGTGCAAAGATTACAGTAACCTAGAAGAAAGTTGAGTTCTTTTGTGAAACCTAGCAGCTCCAAAATATATTTTTAAACTACATACATCAATTCTGTTTTAGCTGTTAACATGGATTGCCTCAAGTCTGTATGGAGTTCACACACTACAAAACTTAACAACATATTGAGCTGGATACTCAGCTATTCTGGTATATGGACTTTTCAGGGATAGACTGGAATTTTATTTCATTCTGAAACAAGCAAATCAATGACTTACTTTTGCCAAATACAAGATTGTATCAATCATGTCCTGTTGCTTGAGAGCTGACTTAAATTGTTTTTCAGCCTCTCGATATAATCCTAACCTAAAAGAGATAACAGATAGACATACAACTTTCTGTTTTGTGTTTTTTAAAATATTTCTTACATTAGAAAATAGTGCATACTAAATCAAACAGGAACTATCCAAAAGCATACTTTAAGGGTATATATTCATGTGCATGTAAACAAAAAACATGCTCTTAAATACATTTAGGTTACAAAGACAAGCATTCAAAAACTATGAGAAAGGCAAATCCATGAAATCTTAAGTCAGTCTGCTCTTATACATGCAGCCTTCTGGTGCTATCTAATTGAATAATGATGTATTAGTTTTCATAGGAGTCCTCCTTGCTCTGTGTACAGAATGGACAGTAGTTCATAAGCAATTTTTTTTTTCTCCTCACTGTGAGATTCTATTCTTTATGTATGAGAATCAAGTCTATTTAAATAACGTTTTGAATAACGGAAAATAATGACTGGTTCTGCTACCCCTAGGGTAGCAGAGTTTTTACACAGGAAAATAAGTCCATTAATAATATAATTGTGAGGTGAACTGACAGTGTTTATGATTAAAAAAAAAAAAGTCACAAACTGTAGGTGTCCTATATAAAACACTTAAAAACCAAATTCTATGATCTTTGCATTTCTTAGTCAAAGCTCATCTTGTCCTGTTTTCAGTTACAATTCTTACCAGCCGAACACTGGGTCTCTGGGCATCGACAGAACAAAAAAGCATGTTTAATGACCTTGTTCTGAGAACTGGTGTGACCCCACTTGCATTGCAAGTCCTCAGAATCTGTGCCAGAAATAAAAACAGAACATATATGTTCCAGGGAGTATTCATGGCCTCATCCATGTAACCATCACACACCTTTCCATTCCCTGACTTATTTGCAACCTTCTGTATTCTGTGACAAAAGAATCAGGTTCCTATAGGCAAGTCCTCTTTGGTTCATAAATCCTGTTTACCCCTAGAGCAGATCCATTCTGATCAGTACATAAGATAATGAAGGCTGGCATATATAGGTGCATAGTGACTGACGGTACAGCAATTTTTTTGACTGCTTGACCATATAATCTTAACACTCTTTTAATACTATTTTTGTGCGCTCTTTTTTCTTCAATTGAAACAAGCAAAAACCAACCAAACAAAAAAAACATGCAAAAGGATATTGCTACCATTAGATCAGTGAGTTTCAGTCTTTTTTTTAATCTATGATCCTCATGAGCCTCCCAGTGGAGGCACAGAACTCTGTTTAACGCATTTACACTTACCAACCATAGGCTGCTTTTCTCAGTTACTTTTGTAAATACCCTTAGAAGTAATCCACGGTCCCACATGGAAACTACTGCTCTATACACAGTACTAGAGGCCTTTACCACTTGGCCAAATAACGGACAGAAACAGTAAGACTGTCACCCTCTTGGTGGACTCTGAATAGGGAGAGTAGGATACATTTCTAGGTGTTTTCATGGAGGTTTGCTGATTGCAGAGGAAGGTAAGAATTGTCATTCCTGGGTTCTGTTCAGGTCTCCAGAGGGGAATGTATTCTGGCTGGGGTAACATTGTTTCTGGCTTTTCAAATATACAGGACAGAGAGGTCCAGTCTTGTCTGTCCCAACTGGCACCATCTCGTTATAATCCCATATTTCTGCTACTTATGGCTTCCTGCCCCATCCAAAGTTGTCTTGTTTAGGTATTTTTTTATTTCATCCCTCCTGACTCTTCTTTTACTTTTGCTTTCCTCCAGCTTCCAATTTTCCTTTCAAAACATTTGTCAATTTGTGTTCTTTATCACTGAGCACACAGCCCTAACCTCTTTACCCAGACAGTTCCCTTACTCTCCAAGTTCCTCATCCATGGCTACTAGGAATTTTATTGTTATTCAACTGGTCTTCACTGTACAGAGGTTCTTGATCTTGCTTAGTCCATCCCAGGCTCCCTACACTCAATGGCAGCTTTCAATCAGCTTTTCTTCTCTCCCCAGTCCTTGTTCCTATCCATTATCTCACTCCACTTGAGTTCCTGTCCCTCCTGCACATGAATTTGCCCGTTTAATACTCTAAGCAACCTTGTCCCAACAGAAGCTGGGATATTCAAAATCTTTAACTGTGTGTTGAAAAAATATGCTGTATTTTAAATGGCACCAAGGCTTAGACTGTTCATGCAGATCTCTTCACTTGCTCTTGGGAGAATGTATGGCATGTAAACCTCGCAGGAGTCTGTTTCATATTAAGAACATTTGTTTTGCAATTCCGCATTACTCTAGAATAACTAGCAGTGATCCATACATGCTAAATGAACTACAAAATATCTCAAATTAGGAGGCTTGTATAATTTCAACAACAGTAGAAATGTGCATTTTCTCGCATTCAAATTACCTTTTCTTTCCCTCAGCCAAAGAGCGCATATACTTGGTGAACAAAGACACATAGCCAATAGGTACATAACGTAATTCTGATGTTGGAAGCATGTATGCCTGCTTAGATGCTTTACTTTCTATAGTACTACTCGTAAAAAAAACATGAAAGTGATGAATGACCTCTAAGCTCAAAACAAAAATCATCCACTTAATTGTCTACAAAAAGGTCAAATAAAGGTTAAGGATAATGAAGAATTTCACTAGCTTAGGCATCTGAAATGGTTTCAAACCACAATACAAGAAGGAACGCGGAATTTTTAAAGGGCTAACTAACTGCTTTGTATTATCAGCCTGCTCATACAAGTATTGCTTATACAATTGTAAACTCTGCAGAAGATGCTTCAGTTTTGTAATAACCAGTACATGCCTTGTGTTTTACGTTCATGGAAAGGGGGAGCTGCCTCAATACTTGTTTGAATTATGGGACACAGGGTTGTAACAGAAACAGCTTCACTCGATTTGGCAGAACTGGCGGTGGCAGTCATAGCTAGCACCTCAGCACCAGCCCAAGCTGCCTGCAGCAAGCTCACCTCCCCGCTGTTGCTGCCCTCTCTTCAGAGAGTCATAGTCCCAAGTCATTTGTGTCAGGCATTTGGGTCCTGGGTGCCACTCCTGGGCCTTGGCTCCATCTGTCAAACTGTTTGATGCTTCTTGGGCAATGAACCTCTGGCAGAAAGTGTCTAATATGAATATTTCATTTTTTATTATTTCACTAAGTGGAAGCCTTCACTAACAGTTATTTTTCTCAATCTAATACTGTAATATTTGCTGTGGACAGATTGTTTTAACAATAGTTCTTTGTATTTATTTACTGAATTTTCAGCCACTGATTTTGAGGCATTTTAACAACGATGAAAATGCATATAATTCAGTTACTTAAAGGTAGTCACTGTTGGTGCCTTCACCTCAAGCAGTTGAGCATAATCCCCTTGGCTGTTAAAAGGGATTTAACTATAAGCACGGTACTTGCCAACTAAACACATAGCGTACTATTTCTCAATCTCCAATAATACATAGTACGCATAGCAGCGGAGGTCCAGCACCCACACTCGTTCATCAGAGGAGAAACGAAAAATGGCTTACCTATAATAGCACTTCCCAATTTGGACTTTCCACCACCAGTCTTTGAACTGTGCATGCTCAGTGGCAAGGGCTGCCAAATCTAGAGCCTTCCAAAACAAATCCATCATTTGAACATTAATACCTTTTGTGTTTACGCAAAGAAAAAGAAAATGAAGCGAACAATGGAAAAATTTCTGTCAAGAGATAAGTCTGAACAAAGAGCCCTGGTAAATTTGAGGCGGGTGAACTGTTTTATGTTTACTATTTTGTACAGTTTATTACATAAAATAGCTGAAAGGATAATTTGTCCCTATAAAGGCATGTAATCCTAACAGTTTCTAGTAATTCAAAGAGAAAATATGAAATTCATTTGATTAGACTGCTGAATTGCTGCTTCAGAGTATACAGCATATTTGCATGAGCTATCATACTCTTTTCCAGCTTCCCATCCTCCTTCACTACAGCTTGCTGAAAACAAATAAAAATATATTAGAATAAACAAATCAATTCAGCCAGTTTGAAATACTGCAAAAATTGTCATCTCATTACTAATATAAGGCTGCTTCCACTTCTGGGAACTCTCAGATGTGTTCATTGGGAAATATTTCTTCCTTTACAAAGTCTATGATGTAAATAATTATGCTAGGAATTAAAATAGACAAATATTCTAAGAAATAGACCTAAAACCTCTTCCATCTGGCATATCTGAAAAGTAGGTATGCTAACCAATGTGCTACCATGGGTTGCCACAAAGAGAATCTATGGCTTTTCATGTTTTGCATGAAAATGCAAATTTCAGCATTTCAGTCAAAACAAATTCATGCCTTTTCTATACCAAAATCTACCAAATAAACAATTGCTAGTGGTGGTCTTCTTTACATTTAGTTTCTCCCAGAACATATCAAAACCATGCTATATTTGTTACTTCTGTTTTAGGGATACGACCAGAAATAGTTTAAAAAGCTTTAAAGCCGTATTTTCAAAAACGAAGAATCGACTCTTTTTTTCTCATAAACATTTTGCAGACCATAGCAATCAGAAACTAGACTTCTACTAGGAACAATATGGAAGAGTTCTGGCCAGGCGATAGCAGAGGAACCAACAGTTTCCAGGATAGCATCTAAATGTTCAAAATACCAGAAACAGTCTAAGTTAGTGACACCTACCACTGGGTTTTATTCCTTTTCCTCCTGCTATTCAAGAGGCTGTATGAACCTCACATTCAGCAGGTGTAGATTTGGCATAGTTCAGCCAAGTTAATGGAGCTATGACAATTTTGGCAAGTTGATGTCTTTTTGGCTTTGTGGAAGAGAATAATTTGTTTGCAGTAGCAATTCAGGCTACGGAGTTGCATGTACTGTCTCCTAAATCAGAAAGAGAGGGCTGTCAGTCCCCACTGAAACGGAGAAAACTGAGGAGCTCTGAATTTACTAGTTCTCCCAGTCATGTGGAGTCGCTGAAGTACTCCGACTGGTGGATCTCACAGATCAAACCTTATTTTGGTTGCCTATTGTTGTGCCTTAATGGCAAATTGCACAATATAGCTATGATGGGGAAGAAGTTTGCTTCAAGATAGAAATTATCAGTTTCCCTTCTCCACAAATACTTTAATCTGAAGCTAATATAAGCAATTTTGTGCCAATACAGTTCACTGGGAAAATTATGGAAAGCAGCTGAGACTGAAACATCACTTATTTTTGTTGTCTTTTCAAATATATAAGGAATGTGTGTGTCTGCCAAATCCCACATCTGTTTCTAATGCAAGATGAGCAGTTACCTTAAAATGAGTACAGGCCAAACTGCAAATAATACATGTTTTAAGGAGCTTTCCTTCGCATGTTCGGATGACAAGTATTCAAGGAGAAGGACTGAAATTCAAACAACCATCCTTTCTGTAGCTACACATTCACTTCCATTGTGGCACCCTAATTATTTCTGATAATTATTTTATGCAAGGCTAACAATGCTGGCTCCTACTGGAGAGTGGCAAGTAAAAGTGCTTCAGGCTCAGTAGATAATAACATGAGCAGTTCAGTATCCATTTGTGCAGATCATGAAATCCTATTACCCAGCATCAAGAAACAAAGCATGACTTCATTTTGGAATTGGTTTCTGAAATTAAGTAATTCCTGTTTTTATGTTTTCTTATTAAAACTTTTCAACATACCATCTTGTTTCTGATATTTTACATGGAATTACAAAAACTTTAATCCAGAAATATTACAAATGTTATCCATATTTCTGAAAGGTGTTTGACTGAAAAGGATTTGTACATATAAATGTCAAGTTTTTGCAGGCTAGTAGATATACTTTCTGTTGGCACCTCAACAAAATCTTTTGACAATGTGGCCTTTGAAATATTACTAACTTGATTAAAATAAACTTTTAAAAGTACAAGCCTTCACCTTGCCATGTCAATACCAATTGCTAGCATAATTTACTCTCATAGCTTGCTCTCAAGCAAACTTCCTTTAATTGTAAAGTTTAAGTACAAATCAATGTACAGTCTGCACAGCACATTAATTTAAAGTCAATCTATAATAATAACAATAAGTGTTCTCAGTCTCCTGTACTCCTGTGCCTTGCTGAGTATTGGTGTAGTTGCATTAATAAGCAGTAGGGGAAGACACTATGGACTGTGGATTACCGCTTTCATAGAATGGCGGATACTGATATTTCTTTTTAAGGATTTTCACTTCTAATACACATCTTACAAAAAAAAAAACCCTGATTGTCCAAAAAGCTTTGATAGCTTTAGGATAGTACTCATTATCTGGGAGTGCCAGTCAGCTGAAACTGTTACTCTACAGAGCACTTAGCATACGTACTCCTATATATAGTAGTCTGTATCAATATCAGCCCAGAGAAGCATTTCAGAATTAATGGAAGAGATTCAATTTACTGTCAGTTCATTATTTGTTCAAATAATAAATAAATAAATCCCAATAATTAGTGTTTTTTTTCCGGTAAAAAGCCATTTATATAAAGAATGAATTGGAGCTATTTTTAAATTAAAAAGAAAGCAGATGCTTTAACTGTAACTATATTTAGCATGATTCTGAGACTTTTTTTTTTTTTACTATTACTCTCCTTACTTAAACTGTAGTATAACTAAGACTTCCAAATTTTCTACTATCAATATAAAACAGCTTGTAGGCTTACAAACCTTTACTATAGCACTGTAAAATTAAATACATAAATATACATTTGTTTGAAACTTACTAATTTCATACACGAGATTGTATGCAACCAGAAAAGTTAGATATATGGAAACTACACTAAGTGTCTACTGCTTCTTTTGCATGTTGTTCAATGGCAATAATTCTCCCAGTGACAGATGTTGACTTGTTTGTAGATAAATAAGCATATGACAGTTTATCAGATTGCTGAGTAAAGGACATCAGGCGTAGTCAATTTAAGTCAATTTATTTTAGCAAGTGTCTTCAGGATTTTTATAGTTTGTTTGCTAATCCAATATAATTCCATTATAAATAGATTACTATCAGAGAATATAAACTTCAGACTGTTAGGAAGAGCCAAGAAAATATCGCAGGTCATGACTATTGACCCCAAGTATATAGGGTACATTTATTATTCTCTCTCAGGACAAAGTGCATTGTTGTCATTGCTCCCCTAAGAATAATGGCAAAACATGATGTCACAGTCTAATGCTGAAATAAGTAGAAGCTGAACTATTTTTGGAGAAGCCTTTTAAATTGCCCTGCTCTCGCAGCATTTAGCCCAAAAAATGCCTTTTAGAAGTAGCTCAAGGAGTATATATCAGTCCAAAAGGAAATAAGTAAAGAACAATAATGGATAGAGTAATAGTAATTTCTTCAGAGAACTGTTTAATTTTTCATTAAGTAAAATGAAATAATTTTGAATACATTTTCAAGTGCTGAAGAAGCTAAGTGCTTCTCTCCTCTTCCTCCACCCCCCAGTTTCTGATAACTGATAGATTATAGCTGTATTTACTTTTAA